CCAACATATCGCATGATCTATACAAGTAAGTAAATATCGATACGGGCTGATATGTTGTTCTGATTCCCTTTGTGTTGGCAGTAATGGCCTGACAATGTTGATATTTACAGTTTGGAATTTTGCTGAAGGTAATTCAAAATTCCCTACAGCAGACTTGGTGTGTCTGTTAATCTTGGCAGAATGTCTTTATGGATTTGTCTATTTCAGGTCCAAAATATCTTGCTTTTAATAATTTCAAAGAGGCACTAATTCCAGGGTGTGCTAAGCAATTTAAGCAATGTAAATATTGTTTTATGCATACCACTAGGAACAAATGGCCTTGGATGTATAGTGGAAATATCACATAGTATGGACCTGATTTTAGGGGAAATATTATATTCCTTTAGATTTTTATATGACGATTTCGTTGTTTTTGTGCTTGTACTATCTCTGACAAGTCACAAGCATCTATTTAAACTGTGAGCATGGGTCTAGATAGAGTCTGCAACTATATTTTTGTTGCCTCGGATATATATGATATCTGATACATATTCAGATAACACTGAAAGCTAACATTGCTGTCAATCGGATTTTGCTGGGATCTGGCTATAAAATGCCTCACACAATGGCTTATAATCCATAAACAGCACTACGCTGTGACCCTCTATGAGGTGGCGCAAATACAGCATGAAGAGATAAACCATGAGAAGCACTTGATTGAACATGGAATATTTTGTCTGTGCTTGTGAAAACTTTTTGGAAAAGAATCTGATTGGTATAGGTTGTTTGTCTACTATTTAATGTAATGCTGCACCTACTGCATATTGACTGTTATCAGTTACTAACTGGTTCTCTGTTACTGAAGACTGGGGATGTGCTAATGCTGTTATCTCTACCAACTTATTTTTTATATCATCAAATGCATTAGATTCTCGTTCATTTAGCTCAAATACTAATCTAGGATTTAATCGCATGCGTTCTGATAACGGCAATATAATGCTTGCGTAATTTGGAATAAGCTTTCAGTAAAAACTTGTCATGCCTAAAAGCCGTCTTAAGCTTTTAGAATCTGTTGGTTTATGAAAATTTTCAATAATTTAAATTTTCTTTTGTGTAGGTAGTAAACCATTTTTACTGATGTGAAAGCCTAGAAAATCTTGTTCTGTTATGCTAAATATGCACTTATCTATTGAAATTTTTATGTTATTGTCATTTAATACTTGTAGTAACTTATCAAAGTCTTTTTTGTGTTGCTGTTCATCATCACTAAAAACTAGGATATCATCCAGATATATGAATACACTGTTCAGTTTGAAAAATATCCTATCCATGTACCACTAAAATGTAGCAGAGACATTCTTAAAACTGAAAGGTATCTATAAGAATTTGAACAGCCCAAAGGGTGTAGCTACAGCAGTTTTTGCAACATCTTTTGGGGGTGCATTTTTATTTGATGATAGGCAGACAGTAGATCTATTTTGGAAAAGCAGGATTGATTTGCCAATCATGCTGTAAAAGAATATATATTGGGTACAGGATATCTATCTGCTTTTGTGATACTATTTAAGGTACAGTAATCACCGCAAGCTTGATAACTACCATTTGGTTTTTGTACTAAATGTAAGGAAGAAGCCCATTCACTATTTGAAGGTCTAATTATGCCTGTACTTAGTAACTTTTTAAATTCCATTTGAGCAGTGTCTAATTTAGGTCCAGAAAGTTGTCGTGCCTTGGCAAAAATTGGTATGTGGCTTTCAATGTCCATTCTGTGATAAATGCTACCATATGTTTGTTTTTTATCTATTTGTGGCAAAGTAACACTTTTATATTTGTCTATGATTTCACTAATATGTGCGGCCATATCCATGCCATTCACTATTACATTATCTACAGTTTCTATTATCATTTTTACTGATACATTTCTTTCTGTTATGTTATCGCTAATGCATTTATTTTTACAGTCTATGACTAATTGGAATTGTTTCAAAAAGTCTAAACCTAGCAATGGATTAGTAATGTCAGTGATTACAAAAGTCCATTGATAAGCACACCTTAATGAAGGTATTCTTATTTCCAAATTAGTTTGGCCATAGCATGTAATACAGTCACCACCAGCGGATGAAAGGTGAACTGGTGTCGGCTCTAAAAGTATACCAACAACAGCTGAACGAGGCAAGATGGAGACACTCGCACCTGTATCTATATAAAATCTATTTTTGTAGTGCCTGTTCTAGCTGCTAGTGTTAGTAGTGGAAAACCTGAGGGAGCCCACGTGATCCGCCCTACTAATTTTCTGAATCACTATGTGTAGGGAATGATGGTTGAGAATTTGGTAACATTTGTACATTATTCTTTCACTTATGTGGCCATTTACGCCATGGTTTGCATGTACGAGCCTCGTCAGCAAAGTACAAATGAGCTCTGCAGACTTTTGGTCTTTGTTTCACGAAAAAAGGATGCAATTGTAGTTTTTATGTTGTTTGTGTTTAGGTTCTATAGCCTGGCAGACTGATGGATTTTGAATTAGTGGCATCAAGTTATCACATAACCTACCTATGTCTGTTAAAGGCTTTTCTCTGTGTGCTGCTATAACTGGGGCAATTTGTGGTAGAAGGGCTCTAATGAATTTGTGGTGTACTATTTCACAACTTGCCCTAATCTTACTTGTAATGGCCAACATCTGTAAATATAATGATGGATGACCAGTTAATGCAGTGGTCTTCATTAATTTCTCTAACAACTCTAGCCTGGTCTTTTCATAAGCATTCACAACTGATTCTTTGAGTTTTGTATAATTTCTTGATTCTAAAACAAGGGATAGAATGACATTTGGATGCAAGGCACTAATTACAGTGTAAAATTTTGTATTGTCAGTGGTTATTTGTCTCAAATGAAATTGAGATTCAATTATAGTGAATCAACCAGTGACACTGGTCTCCATCAATTGTGGAGGTTTGACATTAATTTGCTGTTTCCATTTTTATAAATTGTTTTTATATAATCATATAGAAATACACAAGAAAATAGAGGAAATGAAAAACTAAAAAATGGTAACTTACCCAGATTTATGCTTTTGTCATGTGGTCAGTCATGCCGTGTGTTTTTGAAGGGAGTTTGTCGGAGTAACTAGTATGTAACTCTTTTTGTGGAGGGTGTTCTTTTCAACATTGGGGTTCACCAGTATGGTATATAGAGATGACAGTTGAGCTAATGCATAAATAAAGGGAAAATTTGCTGTTTATAGTATCATTTTATTGTTGACTCCATTTGGTTACAGTGGTTAAAGTGGATGATTATAATCTTAGTCCTTTTTGTGATTTGAGAGTTCATACAGGGTTGTTGTGTTTTTGGTTGACAGAAATTAATTTGTGGAATTCATCCTTTCCTCTTTTTTTTCTGGAGTTGTATGTCCAGCCAAACTCATAGCTGATAAATCTCCAACCCTTGCATCTTGAACTGCTACATTGAATGAATTTCCCACTTCTTCTGCTGTGCATGTGGTTTTTTCCTCCTTTTTATTGGATCTGACACGTCTGTGTTTTATGTTTGATTTTTGGCGGGATGTGTTGTCATTGATTGATTTTTTTATGATGTTCAATGACCCACGTAAGCTATGTCCGGGTTCTGTCAGTTACCAAGGATAGGAACAGTAGAAGGAAGGAAAGGAAGTATGAGAGAGAGAGAGAGTTTTCTTTGTCACTCTCTTGAAAGTGAAAAGGATGCGTATATTTCCATATGATGTTACTACTACTTAATCCTATTACAAGCATATTACATGGATATAGTTTGGTCATATAATAATAATATTTATTAAGAATTTATTATGGGAAATATTAAGTTTTACAGAAACATTGTTGACAATTTATGTATTTAGTTACATAAATAAATAAAAATAATATTTTGAAGATTTATTCGATTTGTTTTTAGGTATTTTTTATTTTCTCCTTAGTTATTGGCAGCATTTTAGAATACTTTGGCTGCAATGCTAAGTTCCCTAAGTTGAACAAATTGGAGCTATTTCGTTTATGCTTTGTTACCTCTCTTTTTTTCCATTGTTGTTTTTAGATCACTTTCTTCCAGTTATTTTGATAGGCAATACTGTAATTCTGAAATTTAGAATGATCGTATTCCATTTCAAAAATAAAACCTGTAAAAAGGAATATTTTAAATTAATATATATTGTATTACATCTTTTGTAAAATACTTGGATATGATATAATAATGAATAATTTGCATTTGTGGAATATGCCCCTCTTCCTTTGCCAAATTTGTCATATGGTAAAAATTCTGATTTGAATTTCACATGACAATAAGATTAAAATATATTCACATGTTAAAGAAAAGGTCAAAAATACAAATTTTATTTGTAAAAGCTTAAAATAAGAAAATTAAGAAGATATAGTGTTTTTGTTGCAAGTCTGATTTGGGGTGTTATCACTATTTGACATTTCATTGCAAATGTATGTAAAATTAATAAAGATTTCTTATTTTCTTAAAAGTGACAAATTTTGTAAATTACTGATTTATAAGATTAGAGAATAAATCAATAATTGGTGAATAATTTCTGTATCATTTTCAATTTTTCAATATTTTATTAAAGACCCCCCCCCTAAAAAAAAATGTAACATTCTATTAAATTTTAAATCATTGGAAAGAGTAATTTTGTGTTGCAGTCAAAATCAAAAAAATAATTTATTTTACACAAGAAATATTTTTTTTATATAATCCCCTTCCTTGTCAATGCATTTAATTTGGGGGTGAATATTACACATTATGTAAGTGAAAGTTTTAGGACATATATTAGGTGTCATTCTCCAGACTTATTTATTCCCCTTTGTTTGAGTCTTTTTAGTTTTTCTGATGATACTGATTGATTGGTAAAACATGTCATATAAAATTTTTCCAAGTTTTCTCATATATTTACCATTATCAACCTTGTAGATATTGGTACTTGTTATTCAAACAAGTATTTCAGTATAATGTATGTACGTTAATTCATACCTTATCTGTCTGTTTTGCAGGTTGTTCTTGTTCGATGGAATGAGCCATATCAAAAACTAGCCACCTGCGATGCCCATGGAATTATCTTTGTCTGGATAAAACATGAAGGACGCTGGTCAGTCGAGTTGATCAATGATCGAAACAGCAAAGTAAGAAATCTTTTTTCTTTTAGTTTCTTTCACAAAATCTTTTCTTGAATGTTGTTACCGGGTATTTTAATTTGACACTGTTTAAGTCTGAGTAAGCATGAATTTATCTGTTTTGTATTAAAAAAATAAGATGTACAAACAGTTTTAACTGCATTGTTTGTTAATATTTGTCAAAATTGTCAGTGGAAAACTAAATTGATAGCTTCTCTTCGAATTATTTATTAGTGAACTAGGAAATCATTTTAAGTATAAACTGGTATAAAATGGTTTTGTCTCTTAGCTTTAATTTTTGGCTTATATTTTTTATTTGTTTACTTTTTAAACTTAATTTTATTAAATTTACATAATCAAACTCATTGCCATCTATCTTTATTAATACTTGTATCCTTATGTTTGATTTTGCTTTCTAAGCAACTTTTTCTCTCACATCTAAACATCTAATGCAGCCAAGTAGAGGCTGAATTAAAATACACTATATAATCTGAATAATGTTTAATATTTCCAAGTTTTATTTACTTGTATTTGCTGTATGCTGAGTGAACCAAGTATTGAGCAAACATTCAGTATTGATTTTATTGAACTTAAATAATCCTTTATTGGATTGATGCAAAAATTCTCAGAACAGTCTTGTGTGCACAATATTAGGGGAGTGTCTTTGAATTTTATGTAACTCTTTATTGCTTTTGTAATTATTCAATTAAAAAATGGTAGAAATGAATATAGATCACTGTTTAAAAGCCTTGTTTTTCTCTTCTTTCTAAAGATAGTAAAAAAAAATCAAAAAGTCATTTTGGACAAGTGATGATAAACAGATTTATTATGAGAATTAAAAATGAAAAAGATCCATAGTTAAATTGAGGAAATCTCAATCTGAATGGACCCTATTAGGTGGAAGAGTTCTGTGTTTAGTGTGATTCAAAGTGAATGTTTTATTTTGAATTGTTGGAACATAAATAAATTGTAATTCTACAGTGCTATAATGAGAAACTAGTTTCTTTAAATTACACATTGGAGGGGGACTATTTTTCTTCTAGAGAAGGAAGTTAATTAGTAATTTTCCTATATGAAAACACATGTACTCATGTTGCAAATATAACATAAAAAATGATCATGGTCATAAGACAGGAAATTCTCCTACATGTGGCATATTCTCAAAACATTTAAGCTCTTGTTTTGCTCAAGCAACAGTTTTTGTCAGGTCATCAGTTCTAGCAAGTTCAAGATCTGAAAAATTCCTTGAAGAATTCATTGAATCAAAACCCAAATTGTTCATTTATGATAGATTAAATAAAAGATTTAAAAGGAAAGAGGGATAAGGTTACAGAAAGCTACATAAATTACTTTGTATAATAATGTTGTTAATTTATATGAATAAAAGAGTAAACTTCTCCATTTCATCTTCTGGAAGGACTTCTTCAAGCTAATAATACTTTTATTGATGGAATTTTATGTATATTTAAAGCTAAGTTTCCTTATATCTTTAGCATTTCAACTGATGTTTGCTGAATCCACCCCCATATATATATATATATATATATATATATATATATCATGAATTTAGTGTATTGGGGCAGCAGATCATTATTCAAACATATATTGTTAAATATAACAGACAATGAATGTCTATTATGTTTGATCATGAGCTGTTCTAAACTTAGTATATTTGCTTTAATTTTGGGAGAAAATAAAGACAAAAATTGTCTAACATTTGGACATTTTTTTTTTATGATACTGTTCCTTGATCTAAGCTTTCGGTTCACATGAGTCATCTTCAGAGTGGTTATATGAACATTTAAACAAAGATATTTACCATCAAAGATTATATTCTGTTATGTTGACATAGAAGATTGCTATATGACAATTTTTGTCTTTATTTTCTCCCAAAATTAAAGCAAATATACAAAAGTTTATATATATACATATATATATATATATATATATATATATATATATATATATATATATATATATTTGGTTGGATTGATGTGAGTTTGTGACCCTGGGTTTCACGCTTTTGAGCTCTATCTCTGATATTGAGTGCTTTCTAATAAGTACCGCACATATAATATATAAATAATTATATATATATATATATATATATTTATTTATATTTATATACACACACTTTTCACACACACACACACACATATATATATATATATATAATTCTGTTGATAAATCCATTATTAGTCTGAAGAAGTCCTTTCAAAGGATGGAACACACAACATAGTTGTAAAATAATCACACCAACAATGGCAGTAATAATTTTGAATTACTTTATTCTTGTACCAATGAGATACAAATAAAAAAAAAATACCCTTGGCCCTTGGCCACTCGGCTGTTGTGACCTTGTTAGGGTCAGAAATAAAGACAAAAAGAGAGTGATTGAGTTAAACAAATATATTAACAGAAACAGTAATACAAAAATAGTTACTGAAAGTAAAGACCATTTACTCTCTAATTTTTTTTCTATTAAGCTGCATTTTACTCAAACAATACTTTTACTCTAGTTACTTTTGTAGTAAGACAAATTTCTGTTGAAACTTTTCTTTGTTTATTTATTCCATTCTTTTTTCTGTATTACACTATATTTTTCTTTGTTAATCTTACCATTTTCTCTTGTAAGTTACTTTCTGAAATTACAAGGTTAAAATCAAGAAAGCAGACAACTTGTCTTGACGATTTTATTTTCTTACAGGTTTATTTTCCTCTTGCTATCATATTTTTGACTCATTTCAATCCTGATATATTCATCTTCTCACCCATCCAATTTTAAATCATCCTTACCTCCTCCCTTGTTTATTCTTTTTCACATATCTGTTTTTTTTTATTTAACCCTCTTACTCAACAACCTGATTTCTCTTAACATTCATTTGCTCATTATAGCTTTAATAATATATAAAGCAACAGAGAGAACAAATAGAAAGCATGCCTGACAAGACAACACTGTATGCTTAAAGAAACAGTTAGTCATAAAATATTTGCTAATAGTAGGCCTAACCATCACAAAAGGCCTTGGAATTATTCACTTTTTGGGTGGAGTTTTTTCTTTATTATTTTTTTTTTCTCTTTAGCCTTTCATCCTTAAAATAAAGTGCTTGTGTTTCTTTTCTTCCTCTTGGCCATTGATTTCATCATGAATAATGGCAGTCATATTTTAGAAATTATCTATTGAATTGCTAACATTTCAGAGGAATGTATGTTTACCCAGCATATACAGCAGTATTCTTTCTATGATAAAAAGAGTTTCTCTTCAGGGACTCATTGATTTCCTCAAGTTTATTTAGTGGCCATTTTATTTTTTCTTGTTTGACATCCACAAGGGAGACAACCTACTTAAGTAGCTTACATTTTGTACTGGAAAAAAAAAACCCTGGTAATTGTGAGACATTATAAAAGGCGTATGAGTGTAGACTCAATTTAGCTCCTTTTCATTGTAAATGTTTCTGTGTATTTGTATGTGTTGATTTGTAAATATGTGTGTGTGTGTGTTCATATTTGTGCATAGTATAGTTTCTTGGTATACAAGTATGCAAATGTATTTGTGCATGAAAAAAATATATTCATCTTTTAAGTTTTCATATGATTTTTGGATATATATGTTGTTGTTTATATTTTCTTGCATATATGCCTGAAATTTTATATTGGCATATACATATATATGTATTTGTATACTAATATATATATAATCATTTCAATCAAAGCAAGGCAATAAAGCCACTAGGACACAAGAGATTACAGAGTGTTAGAGTATATTGGTGTGGGACTTTGGGGTTAAAATGAACAGTTGATTTACCCACACCAAAAAGATTAATGAAGGATTATAATGATGAGGACACACATGGGTAATTTTAACAAAACATGACAAGGAATTTATTCATAAATTTAAACATTTGAAGTAGTGTCAGTTGCTTGTTTCAGGAAAATAAATCAGAAATCTTAAAGTTTGTAGTTTTAACATATTGTGATGAAGAGGAAATGTTCATACAATATAGTACCTGAACAGGTTGGTGTGAACCAAGGAGAAGATTGTGGTTTCACCTGATATTTGTGAGAAAGTACAAAAACATCAATGCCGGTTTTAACTCAAGAAGAAACGACTGTAACACAATTCTCAATAGAAAGGTTATGAATATCAATTCATGGGACATCTTGAATAAAGTCATGAAATGAATCCCAATTAGTATGCTGGTAATAGAAAGATGTCTTGTAAATAGTAGATTATTTTCTAATAGGTGGCTCAAATGAAATATCAATAGATACTATATTGTGATCCAAATTGCCAAAAGGACTGAGTTGTGGCACTGTACATCTTCTTTACTCTAAACCTGACCTTCTGTTCCTGTCTGAAAAGTATTAATGCCTCAATCTCATTGCAGGTGTTCACAATCATGGGCTACTCACCCATTATTACAAAAAAATGACCACCTAAATTGCCACAGTCACAGGCTCAGTGCCTACATCATGGATGGGTTTTCCTGTGACAGGGACACAAAAAATGAGGACCCTGATCTCCCATATATATGTTTCTGCATGGCACTTACTAATAGTACCACATTCATCTTTTCCCTGTATCATTCTCAGGATGAAAGGTCAGTAATTTTCAATTGAATATCAGATGGGATTGACAATATCCTCACCAAATTTCCCTTGGCCAACTTTCACATATGCAGTGACTTCAATGTTCACTACAAAGAGCGCTATAACAAAACCGATGAGGAAGGCAGATATTGCAGAGACTTCTCCGTTGGATATGAACTAACCCAGATCATTGAAAAACCCAAAGTCCTAGATGTGATGAGACAGCAGGCTAGCATCCTCAGCCTTTTTCTAACATCCTGTCCTGACAAATGTTCAGCAAAAGTTTTAGCCCCCATTCTCATGTCAGATTATTCCTTAATCAGTGTCCAGATTGATTCCAAGCCTATGACATCCTCTGATTTACTGTTCCATAGAACAGTTTTTCACTATGTCGTGGCAAGCTGGGACAGCTTTTGGTT